GAAAATAATTTCATTATTATATTTTACCAAATCATTACATAACAATTGCCAATTTTATAGGGTTAGGTGGAAAAAATTATTTCGGTCAACATCGAAAAGGGCTATTACCACCTTAAAAAATAGCTTTTAGGCCTTGAACATTTGAGGTGAGAATCAGAGGCCCTTAAAGTCCTTGATAATGCATTTAACTCAATTTCAGCAAGGTGGGCGAAAAGTGCAAAAAAAAATTAACAAATGATTCTCATAATTGCTTCCTAGCAGAGTGTACATCGTCTTAACCAGTTGGTTCAGGGTGATGTGACCTTCACATCATGAAAAAATTTGGCCAAGAGCCAGGTGATAGGAATGGGCTGTCATGAAAAAAAATTGGCTGAAGGCCAAGTAGTAGGTATGACTTGTCTTGAGGGCACAAAGCTCTTGGAGGGAGATTAGACTCATGCATAAAGGAAATGCTCCTGGAATGTACCATTTGTGAGCTATGCCTTGAAGAGTGCTGGTTCCAAGGAGGACACTTTTCAAATGTCTAGATTTAGACCTCAGAAAATGGCAAAAAAAAAAAAAAAAAAAAAAAAAAATCAAAAAAAAAAAAAGAAAAAAAAAAAATCCAAAAGAAAAAGGGGGTCTTGATAAAGCAAAGGAGTGATGTGGGCCTGGCCTCCAAATCACCCATCAGGAGAGTTACCCCCCCCCTCCCCCCCCCAAAAAAAAAAAAATGCAGAGAAAGAGATTGCAAAGAATCAGTGAGTCTTGATAAAGCAAAGGAGTGATGTGGGCCTGGCCTACAAATCACACATCAGGAGAGTTACCCCCCTCCCCCCCCCAAAAAAAAATAGAAAAAATAAAAATCTTAAAAGTATTTTCTAGTGTAGATTAGTTTTCCTTATGATTTTCTTTAAGAGTTAAGGGAGCACTTGCGCTTAAGAATGAAGTTCATCAATTATGATCAGATTTTTCGCGATTTTTTAGTATGTTATATATACATATACTGAGATTTAAACCTCCAATCCCATATCATTTTGGTATTAATCAATGAAGTTATTAAGAAAAAAAGTTTTGAAAAATCAGAAAATTTGATATTTTGCTCTTATCCTTTGACAGAACTTTATGAAAAAATATCACGTATACTCCATACCAATACCTATATATTCAACATACGGATTTTGAAATATCCTCTTAGTTTAGTGGGATTTTATATTATTATTGTAATGAATATTAAATATAATATATGGACTGAAATGAAAATCGTTTCATACAATAAATCACAAATTTATTCAGCTTTCAAATGATCCAAATCCATTAAAATCACCCAAGTAGTCATGGAAAAATAATAATAAAAAAAAAAAAAGACAAATGTGTAGTTTTGAGATGCTGGGGCTTAAAGTTGAGAGTACTTTTCCCATTCCCTTTTTTTTTTTTCTTCTTTTTTTAGAATTCTGATCTCTGCAGGGTACTAATTGCACTAACTGCACATGATTGTTGAAGTGCAGCTTTGTCATCACAGGCTTTGCAAAGCCTTTACAGTACCTTGTGAGGCATTTCGTACAATAAACATCAGTAACTGTGATTGTGCAATGTATTTCTCATCATAAGGTTTATCAGTTACGGGAATAATATTTATTGTTAGTTTGGTCCTCTTAGTGTTCGATGAGGGCATATTAGGGGTACGTCTATGTAATGGTGTTGAGGAAGCAGGCGATGCGCAGCCTCTCTCTCCGACTGTCTGGTGGTGACTGCCAGCGTTGTCTCCTAGTCGTGGCCATCAACTGAGACAGTAAGCTGAGTTGCCAGCTAGCTATAAGAGAATATCAAAAGAAATTGAAAAAAATAGCAAAAAAAAAAAACAAACTTAGTCAAGTACATTTGCACAAACATAATAAAGCAGGGATCGCAGTGAGAGCAGGGAGTTTCATAGATTTAGTCAAAATTCCTTTATTTTTATTTATTTAGCAGAAATATTACATCACAGGATGGCTAAAGCCTATCAGATTACAGTTTTTTTTCAATACTTTGAGTACTTTTTAAAATATTTGTTGAAAAAATCAGCAGACGAACCCATTAATCACTTGCCACAGGTTGGCATGTATGTACATGACATGGTTGTTGTGGACAGCCATGACCATTCCCATGCTATTGGCTCATCGGACAGAGTTTGTTTTTCTCCAATAGTAGTAGGGGCATCGGCATTTATTTGTGTTGTGCTTTTTGGGGTGTTCTTACGCCAAGCAAAAGCGCTATTTCAGAGTTTGTTTTGCGCTGTTGTGGTCATGACAAATATAGATTGGAAATGGCCTACTGTTTTGCAAATCCCATGTCGTAAGCCATTCTGTTCGCAAAGCAATCGGGCTCAAAGTGTTTTAGGCAAAGTACGCTGGTTGGCACAGGCTGAAAGTTGTTCAGCTTGGCATGCACATAAAGTGTCCACTTCCTTGCTCTGTTGCGGTCTTTTGGCCATTCAAATAGTTGGTGACATGGATGGGAACAATGAATTGATACACAATGCCACAGCATCCTTTGTTACAAACTTTAATAGCTTGAAACTGGGACAATTCCATGATCTCCTTGACTCATGGGTGCACTGTGTGTAACACACCATTCAACAAGATTCTCCCTGGTCCTGAGAATGACGTCACAACCGGGGATTGCCGAAGACCGCCGAGTTTTCTATCTTCGTCTCTAAGGGTGTTGCTATGGGATTTGGGGGGATACCAGAGGGTCTATTTGAATTATTTTTTTGCATGAATAGGCTAAGCATACATTATTGAACAATATTTAAAGAGAAAACAATGCACGAGAATTATTTCACATATGCCCTTTCAGGGGATTTTCTCCTTTTTTCGATTTTTCTTGCTGGTTATCATGAAACTCACACTCTTTCATTTAGACCCTAGCCTGATCTCTGTGGTAGTTTTTTATCGGCCGAACAGTTTTTGAGTTATAGTAAAAATAAAAATAAAAATCTGAAGAAAAATTTTGAAATTTGGCCAAAGCAGAATAGTTGTTTAAAATCCAAAAAAAAAACGCACAGTCATTCTGATCGTTTTATTTTACAGATTCATTCCTTATCAAGGGAATGTAGGAAGCACTTTTTTTATTTCGACTTTGTTTTTGTATTTTTTAGAAATATTTTACGGGGTCGAGTAGCAGGTGTCAGAAAAAAATGTTTTTTCTTTTTTATTTATTTATTTTATATATATATATATATATATATATATATATAAATTTTACAGGAAGCACAGAAAAAAAAAGAAAGATCTGCTTCCTACATTTCCTAGATATTTTAGTTATCTACAGAATGAGCCATAATACGTTTATTTTGGACCTAATTTGTGTCTGGAACGGCATTTCTGTGTAAATAAGTATACTTCCAAGATGAGGGTCATTGAAGTTTTTTTTCTCTTTTCATCATTAATTTGGTATGAAAAATGAAAGGGAGAAGCATAATCTTCATATACCATAATTGTCAATCATGTACCTGTATTCCGAAGCCTTTTGGACATTGCCAGTACGTAACATTTTCTCAAAATCTTTTGTATAATGTAGAGTGGTGGCAGTGAATTGGAGGGTGTGTAGGCCTACATTGACCAATTTTAAAAATTTCTCAAAAATCCCCCAAAAATCATGCAGACATTTTGAATAGAACTATCCTTCTAGTATATGTGGAAGCCATTTTTAAGAAGTCAACCTCACTTTTTTTTTTTTGTGAATATTTTCTGAAGCCTACTATCTTGACACCCTAAAAAGGGATACTAAAAATATGTCACTTTTATAAGAAGCACATGAAGATGTTACAAATCCTTATTGCATCATGTAATAGATCTATTATTCAGCTACAAAATGAGCCATAATACATTAAAATTGGACTGAAAATACGTGTGCTATGCTTAAAAACGTGAAGGACCTTATCTTTTTCCTTTTCATTATTTATACATTTTACATGACAAATCATGTACGAAATACAATTACAAGGCAATATAAAAGTATGTGTATAAGGTAGTTAAGCACATATAGATCATTTTCATGTACCCCATAAACTTTTGTTGTTTATTTATATTGTTACTTCTGTTTGTTTCTTTGTTAGATGTTTGTTGTTATTTTTTGTTTGTGTTTTCTGATATTTGTAAAAGTTACGAACACATTTCAATGAGCTTTTAACCAAAGGTGTGTTTTAACCTAACTTAGACGTATATTACACTTTAGTGGTGATGCAGACCATGGTTTGGATCTAGGATTTTTTTTTTTTTTTTTTTTTTTCTAACTTGAAAAGTTTTGAACAGATTTTAATTCTAAAAAATGTACCTGAGGTATGTCTTAGCCTAATTAATATTCCATAAAATTTTGGTGGTGATCCGGATCATTTGGCAATCCTACCCCCCATTTTTTTTGGGGGGGGAGGTTTGCATTTTCGAAATGTTTTGCTTATAGATCAAACTATGTATGATGAAAACATAAAGAAAAGAAAATACTCCATATGGACAGCACATTATGTTTATTTATTTGTATGAAAAATGTATTCATTGTAATTATTCTGAAAAATTGAAGGTTGGTCTCATCCTACGTGAAATTTAAGAAGCTTTCAGAAAATAATCTCATATTTTTAATATCTCTGATTATCGCGTCGCAATTGCCGATTTTCTAAAGTAACTTGAAAAAAATATTTCACTCGACATCAAAAATGGCTGCTACCACCTAAAAAATAATGGTCGGGCCTTGAAATTTTCAGGGGAGAAGCGGGGGCCCAAGAACTTGTTGAAAATACATAAAACTCGATTTCGGCAAGATGGACGAAAAACGCATATAAAAAAAGGAGACTTAAGATAACTGTCTAACAATAATTGTACAATTGTTAAAGAAATGTTATAAATAATGCAGCTTGTGTAATGTGTGGCCTTGCATATGAACTCTTAAGTAGTAAGGTTAACATGTACCCATGTACACACAATTTCAAAACTAATTTCTAAGGCTATGCTTCGATATGCAAAAGGAAAGTTACTTCTTTTCAGGTAAGCCATCATCCACCTGTGAGTGCATGTTATGCCAAGAGCTATAACTTCACTTTTTGGCAAGATGTGCGCATCAAAACTAAATTCTGGGGAAGATCATTGGAGTTTCAGCCTACAGGTAAGTAATATGAGTCTGCAAACATATATTGGAAATTGATGATATCTGTACATTTTCATTAAAAATTGGAGACATTTTGAGAGAGAGACAGAGAAGAGTGGGGGTAGATAGGATATGGGTGGTCAGGTATGAAAATTAGTGGCCATATTCCATTTTCTATTATTTTATATGTGTATTACACAGTGGTTTTAAGGTAGAGTGTAAATGCCACTTTAGCTACTAAACAACAGTATTGCTTTGTTGGTATCACTTGTTTGTTTTTATTCTCAAGATTTATCAAATAAAATCAACTAATTGATATATTGATCCATTTACATAACTCTCTCTCTCTCTCTCTCTCTCTCTC